TCATGTCTGGGCCCCCCGACTGGTCGTTTACATGATTCGGTCGCCGGTCGCGGGCTGCTCGGCTGAAATGTGAGTTGTCGCAAAGCATCCGCGTCATGTGATCGTCAAATTTTCCCAAACAGTACCAATTGCTGTCGTACTTGCTGTGACGAATACGATTTGTGACCAGACTGTTGAAGAACACTTTTGTTTGATACTCTAGATATGTAAGGGTGCGCAATGCCCAGAATAAGCCTCACGAAGCGAGCTTGGAACCCATCTATCCTTCTCCTCTCTGCTTTGTTAAGCCACGCAGAACTCAACGAATCCAGTACTTTGCTTGTGATGAGAGCAGAGAATGCTTCCAACTTGCTTCTTTTTGCCCACCGCAGCATGTTTCCGCGCATGCGCGCATCTTTGAAACTCCCCCCATGCTGCGCCCAATCTCCGCCCCAGCTCTGATTTGATGCCCCCGCTGTCGCACAGAATGGCCCCCAAATATGGGATTTGCAGCGTTGGCGAGATGATTTTCCCAGCGGGGTCTGCGATGCGCGTTTGACAAGTGATTTGCAATAATTGAAACTTATCCCAGCGCAGCTCCATTCTCAAATTTTGCGCCTGCCCTGGCAATTGCGTTCAGAAGTTGTTGTAAATGGTGTTCGATGCGTCCAATCAGCACTGCATCTATCCCCACAATCCATTGAACGTCGAATATCGGTGTCCAGATTATTTTCCACGTCTTTGACCAAGACCGACATGACCATTACGAACAAAAAACGGCGACAATGGGCACCCTTGTGAAATACCTGACTTCCGCCCCCTGCCCCCTGACCTCCGGCCCCCATCTGCGACGCAGAAGTGGCGAGAGCCGCATGCGTTGCCAATGAGCTGCAGCACGTGCGGCGGCGCGCCGAATGTCGTGAGTGCATCGAAGAGGGCGTCCACGTTGATCACGTTGATCGAATCGAACGCTTTTTTCCAATCCAAAGCCAACAGTACAACTTTGCCGCCGCGTGTGGCGCGCGCCAGCTCAGTGCGCCTGCGCGCTGCTTGGATGGCGTCGGTCGCGCCGCGTTTCCGCCTGAACCCGAATCGCGTCCCAGTTAGTCTGTATTCGGCCCCTGCTTCTTGGAGCCTCATCAGTAACAAGCTTGCGAACAACTTGCACATCACGCATGAAAGGCTGATCGGGCGATAACTGTCGCACTGGTCCACGGGGCCAATGTTCTTGCACATGGTCGCCACCGCTGCGTGTGGCCAGTCTTCCGGCACTTGTTTCTCGTCCCAGTATTGATTTATCAACTTCGTAATCGTCTCCAGCCCTTGGGGGTCATCCCCGAGGGTCTTCCAATATTCCGGCGAAGTGTCATCTGGTCCAGGTGCTTTCCCTTTCTTTAAACTAGAAGTCGCCCTTCGCACCTCTTGCATTGAGAAATCGCCGTCTGAAATAAGCACTGGTGGTCCAAGTGGCCCACGCGGTTTGAGCGTCGCAGGTCGCACTTTCCACAGCACTTGTTCGACATACTCCGCCATTGTGTCTGCGTTCTCTGTGCTTTCAACAAGTTCGCCATCCAGATTTCTGATCCTTCCCTGCCTGCGCGGCTTCGGCCGGCAAGCTCGCTTAAGGGAGGCCCAGCACCCATCGGCGATTTGCTGGCCCATCCAAGTTGTTTTAACTTGCTTAACTGATTGCCTTACTTGTTTGAGTAGCGAACTTTCTGCCATCGGATTTTGAGAGGATCGCGCCAAACTCCTTGATCTATCAGATCTGGTGTCTTCTGAGAAACCCATGGCTGCTGTGTTTTGCTGCCCTCACGGAGCAGAACATGTTCAGCCTCAGCGATCGCACGTGTCATGTTCTCCCAAGTTTGTTGCGCAGTGTCGGCTGCGCCCTCCCTGGGATTGAACACGTTTGTGAAAGCGTCGCGGACATCTTTATGCTTGAGCGCCGTCTTGTCGCAACCGGAGGTCTGCTTGGTGGCTGCAAGCGGAACTTCAATTCCCAGCGACCATGATGCCAAGTAGTGGTCTGTAGCTAGCGCTGCTCGTCGGTGGCTGCCGAACTCTTTGAATGATCCCAACTATCCAGGAAATTATGAGATGCCGGTATAATGGCAGCCAGTGGTAGCACCCCAGCTTCCCGGAAAGTAACTTTCATGTTCAAGCTCTGACTCATGAAGGTGTTTGTAATCACAAGGCGTGCGCCAACGCACAACTCTAGTAGTAGTTCTCTGTTTGGCGATTCCACTTCGCGCGCGGCTTCCCTCCCCCAGCCATGCTCGCCAACAGCGTCTTCTCCGGGATGCGCCTGACCAGCGCGTGCATTGAAGTCTCCCTGAATGTTCCCCCCCCCCCAGGCTCGCTCGGCATGCTCTGAATTCATTGTCCAATACGTGGTAAAAACCTGCACGTTCAGGTAGAGGTTTAAGATTGCGTGGTGCGTATGCACAAAATATGCCCATCGTTTTCCCGTGCAGTCGTAGTTTGAGTACGCACAGCCGTCCTGACACTTGCTTGTACGATGTAATGTGTCTGCGAACGTGCGGTGCGACTATGATCCCAACCCCTGCCCATGTGCGATCGTCTGTATTGTTACCAGGGAGAATGAATGTGGATTCGTCCTGTTGGTACACGTCGGCTTTAGAGAGCCTTGTTTCTTGAATACACAGCACACCAATGTTCTAGCACTGCGTGTATTTGATCAGCTCGATGCCCTTTTATCTCTGTGAGGCCGCGGACATTCCAAGTAGCACACTTTAGGGAAGAAGGCGAAGAAGGTGAAGAAGATGAGGTTGAAGAGGTATTGAACGGTGATGCTTGCACTCGATCTTTGCCTGTCTGCTTGACGACTGGTCCGGTGTTGGTAGCTTTGCCCAGCTCCGCATGCCCAGTGCCTTTGCGATCATGCCCATAACGATGTTCAGATACCTGTTGGTGCACCTTCAACGACGACTGGGTGGTATCTTTGCCCAGCCCAAGTGGGGACGCATGTCTAAATAAAATGTCACCGTCGTTTACGCTGTTCCCGGAAATGGTAGCTTTGCCCAAGTCCAGGCTGTCACGTGGAGAGTTGGCATACTCAAATCTAGAAGAGAGGAAAATCGAAACATAGCCAGGCGCTTGCTTGATGGACTGCGGTGTTGCGGCATCGGTCCCCTGGCAAACCCAACCAGATGCCGCATGTATGTCCTACTTGCTTGTCGTCCCTTTGGATTGCCCTTTCGCCTCACCTTTCATTCCTGCCCGAGAACGGCGGACTAGGGAGTCGTATTTTTCCACCGATGTTTTCATTTTGGCGTGGTTTTGCAAATCATGCCAATTCTTCCAATCCTCCGCCCACTCCCGATGGACACCGCCGGGGCCCGCATGTACGGTAAGCGCCAATTGTCCTCCGACGTGTAACTGGTAGGGTGCATTGTCGGATACTTTAATGATGTACTCGCTCTGCATGTCGTCAGTAAATATTTTTGCCCAAATGCGAAATTGCGGGCAGCTCTTTCTGAAGGCTCCCGATCTTGGCATGCCCATACTGTGGTATCATCTCGTTGTAAACGTGCGCTCCGAAAGAGTGCAACGGCCGTATCTCGTTCAAACATGTCCCCAAATTCAAGAAATATGATGTTTCCAAACTCACCTTTCGAGTACATGTTAGTCGGGATGGGACCGCTCATCGACGACAGTTGCTCCCGGATGTATGCGAATGCGGAGTCCTCGGAGTCGAAGTCGTTCAGGTTACTGACGACAGCCGTGACTGCACGTTTCCCATGCGTGTGGTAAGTATTAGCCTTGTCTGCCGGATTGTGCTGCTGTAGCGCCAAAATCTGACGCTCCAAGTCTTCCTGTTTCGAATCAGTGGCCGTGGTGTGTGATGCTCCGGAAACCGAACGAGGCGTTTTTGTTGGACCAGCTAATGTTATTTCCAGCTTGCTCAATCGAGTTTCCACATCGTCTACCAATTCTTCCAAACGGTTGTCCATGTTTGTAGCACGAATGTTGATATCTTCCATCTCGTTGTCTACTGAGTCCTTCAACTCGTCCACAGCTGTCTTTAATGGCGCCACTGCAAGCTGAAGGTCAGTTTGAGAAACTCCATGTGTTTTGATTAGTGCGATGTCTGTTTGAATCGGGATGAGAAGCTTCTCGATGGCCTCCAGCGTGACTGGAGAGCTTGATGATGCTGCAGACGCTGCGGGAGTGACCCCGGCATCGTCTTCAGATAGTGCTGCTGCTCCGGATGCCCCTTCAGCAACAGCTGCGCCAGGCGGTGCGTCGCCCATCCCATGAAGTGGACTTCGGAGGCGAGGCTCCACTCGGCGTTGATTCCCTGCTCTCGGTGGGGTGGTCATGGTGTGGACTTGCCTGAGCGCACTTTTTACTGGAGTCCCCATGTGATGCTTTTCCGCCGGCATCTTCACGAAATTGGAGAGGTCCGATATGTGTCCGAATATGTGACAGACTGTAGGCTACTTAGGTGGTTGAAAATGTGTGGCCTCTGGTTTCAAACCTTGACCTGCAGCCTCGCTTGAGCCTTGACCTTGAGCCAATTGTCTTGAGCCACAAAACTTGTGAGGGGCGTGTCGACATGGGTGTGGAGGACGCATGTGGGCGATGGCACTGTTGCCTTCGGCGGAGCTCCATATGGGGCCACGAAGTGCGTGAGGGGTTTGTCAAAGTGAGAGGGGCGAAACAGGAGAAGGGGGGAGGGGGCAGCGGGAGTGAGGTGACGCGGGGCGCTGTCTCGTCGAAACGGGGACCCAACACCACAGGATGGAATGGTAAGACTCGCAATGATGATAATAGTAAAACAGAAATGAAAATACATGAGAGATAATGTAACTGTGTCTGTATGTTTGGTTTTTACTTGCTTTCCACGTTAGGATAATGCGCGCCGGGACCCATCAGGAGTTGGGGAGAGGCAGGAGAAGCAGCAGGAGTGGGCGAGTGGAGCGGAGGAACGGGAGGCGACGACGGCGAGTGCGAGGACGACGGGCGAAGACGACGGCGACGACGCTCCTGCGTCGCTATGATGAGCTCCACGGCGGACTCGGTGGCACTCGGGTATCTCGCCACGTAGACCCCGAGCCTGGCCTTGTGCGAACGGAGCGGCCGGCGGAATACGCGGGGCCACTCCTGTTACGCATCCCGCGTGCAATATCAAGTCTCTCTCCAAGCTCTGCACACTCATTCTGGGCGACCTAGCCGCCCTGCTCCCGCTACGCTCCTGCAGGAGACCCGCGGAGAAACAGTTCAGGGCCTCTGGGGGTCCATGGGGCACGAAATGTGTGGCAAAATGAGGCTCCTTGAGTTGCTTTGAAAGGGCAAGTAAGGGCACCTGGTTACCCAACGGGCACGATATGCGTGAGCGGTGTGCCGAAATGAAAACCGTTCAACCGTTTTGAAGGTCAGTCGAGCGCCTCTGGAGTCCATGGGGCATGAAGTACGTGCGAGATGTGTAGGATCCAGGCTCCCCTCGGGCCATCTGGAGGACAACTGAACTCCTTAAGCGGTCCGAGGGGCTTTATGGAGGCTCCGCGCTGCCCTTTTGAGGGGCAAGCCCTGGGCCGACGAGTGGCCAGGGAAGAACGCTCGCACTCAAAAGCGTCGCAAGATGCCCCGACCCCCCGGGTGAGCCAAGATGGTCCCCCAACAAGATTGCAAAACTTTGTACCGCCCCCAGAAATACAACTGATTCTAAAATTGACACATGTATACACATATATATATATATATATATATATATGTACATATATATATATATATATCAAATCCCCCCTTGGGGGCCCACCGTGACTTCCGCTCTGCAGGCTCAATACGGCACCACCTGAATGCCTCAGCCGCGTCAAACGACCGCTCGGCGGCAGAAGAGGGGAATCCGCAGAGCGCGCCTCGTAGCGCACCCGCGCGGGCATGGCCGCCATCGCGAACCCGGGCTGCCGCTCACGCTCGAACACCTCCAACAGGGCTCAGCGGACGTCGTCGTCATCGTCGTCGCCGCCGCCATGGTTGTGGTCGTCGTGGTCGTGATTGTGGTCGTGGTAGTGTTTGTGGTCGTGGTGAGGATCGTTGCCGCCGTGGATCCAACCTCCTCCTCCACAGCCTTTGACAACATTAGAGCAACGCTAAGGCCATTTCCTCATGTTCCCTCCTCTTCCTCCTCCTCCTCCTGTGTCCACCCGCCATATACTGTTCCTCATCCCTTTCTTTCCTTCCTGGCAACTGCTACTCCGCGGGGAGAGGCAAGAAGAGGAACGACTGGGAGCGACGGAGGCGGACGGAGGAGGAGGAAACGACGATGACGACGAGGAGCAAGCACAAACTTGACGACGACGACGACGAGGAAGGAGGGGCGCGAGGACAACTGAGAGGGTTCGGGGGATGAAGAAGAAACATGCATGGTGGAGGGAACGGGCCCCATCAAGGAGGAGAGAGAGGAGGCATTAGGAGGGGCGAGGAGCAGGACCGACCTCTCGCACCTTACAGCCTCACCCTCCACCTCACGCGCCAGGGAACTCCATGGCAGATTTAGGCGGGAGCCCCCTTCTCAGCCGACTCCTTATGCCTCCCCGATGCTGTCACCCCGGGGGGGGGGGGGGGGGCGATGCTGCACAAATGAAACCCCGCAATGTTTGCACGACAAATTCCCACGATATCCTCAGGAATGGATAGGTTGCATGCGCCGCACGAACCGAACTCCCCTGGCAGACTCTCAACGGAAGAATACACAACGACGGGCCCAACCTGCACAACGGCAACCAACTCCGCAGACCCAGGGCGCAGGGGCGGTCAGACATGTTTGAACTTGCCCTTGAAGGCTGGGAACGTACAGAAACACATTTGGTACTTGAGCTGGGCTCCTACTTTCAAAATATCATGTCTCTGTTCCAGCAACCGATGCTTCCGCTGGTTCAGAAATGAGGCTGCGATATTATGTTTGTACGTCTCGCGGCCTAAGCGATCGTCTCTCTGCGGCGCACACGCCAACGCAACTTGACGACTGATCGCTAGGAACCGTCGGAACACAAGGAACCCGCGATGGCTATGTTTATCGAATTCGGTGATACATGCTCTGTCTAGCGCCCCCCAGCCCGCTGCAACTCTCGGCGGGGGGGGGGCAAAGCATCAAAAACAAATCGGCGACTGCAGTCGCCGCGCGGCACTGGGCGCCTGGGCGAGTCTCATGCAAGTAGCGTTGAATAGGGTGGCTTCTGATCCAGCGAGCGGTGATCACTCCGTCCCTGGTGCCGAGCTGGCCCCGCGCTCCTGGCCAGATGCCGAGCATGACGGACGCATCCACGGGGGCTTGGGGTCCTCTTTTTAACGCATCAACGAATGACCTGTAATCAAATCACAAGGTGACCTGGCCTGTCGCGTAGCGCAGCAAGAAAACAACGGCAGCGAGATCGGCTAGAGGAGAACTCTGACGGGGGCATGCGAGGGCACCACGCAGCAGGCCTTCAACTTGAAAAGGATCCAGGCAGAAGATGCACGACACTCCATCCAGGCCTCCTCGCCCTCCAATCCATGGTCGATTTTCGTCCAGACCCATCTGCACCGAAGGAGCCGCTCACACTCGGCACGTTGGTATTCGGGGCATCAAAAATGATCCCCAGGCCCGAGCTTTCCGCGCGCTTCAGGAAGCGGGCCCAGGTGCCAGCCGAGGGGGGCAAGCCCGCGGGGCCAGAAATCAACGGCCTTCTCGGACCCTTGGAGGGCTTCCTGACATAAACCATTCGTTTGGGCCACGTGGGGGCCCTCCAGCTCACGGCTGCGCGCGCGCCCCCAGAAGCGGTGGGCGGGCGTCCCAGGCTGGAGCCCACATCTCGGACACAACCCGCTCGAATCGCATCCTTCATCTTTTAAACGTTGTTCTGGCCACTGGGCCCCAATCATCCGCTTATGGGGCATGCCGATGCCCTCGGCGTCGCCGACCTCACACAGCCGCCCGCGCGGCCGCCGGCGCGCTGGAACGGCCCCCTGCAGGCCTCCTCCACAGAAAAGTGCAGCAGCTCTCTGCCACTGTAGGTCAGAAGCGCCGGCGGTGACCGCACGCCCCAGAAAGAAAATAGAATTTGCACGATCGACTCGAACAATTCCTCCAGGAAGCTCCCAACAGATAAAGCAAACTGGGGGGCCTCTTAGACCCGAGATAGTCGCAACCACAACGCAAACATGCCCCCTGGTCAGACGCCGCACGTTCTTCGAAACAGCCCCGCGACGTTCGCGAACGAGGGTGTCCCAGATTGCGAGGACGTTGACCTTGACCTTAACCTCGAGGCGTGGCCGCAGACGTCGCCATTCCAGAACATGTTCGCCCCTTAGTTTGAATATGGAGCATGATGCGCGGCTCGCCCAAAGGGCCGAGAGAGCGGCGGCGCGGGCCCCCGGGCCCCGCCCGCCCGCGGCCTCGGCGGCCCGCGCGCGCAGAGGTCGTGCTATGGACGGGAGCGCGCCAAGCACCTGGCGGGGCCGCGCCCCGCAGGCAGTGGCAGAGGGCTCGGACAGTCGGCGCGCCTCCACGTCAAAGCCGCCAGACTCGCTCTATTGGATCCCCTCAGAGCTTCCTTCCCCCTGTCCTTCATCCTCCACGCGGTGCGCCCGCGCCCGGCAGCGGCGCCACCTCCAAGGCTTTTCGCAGCGCCCTCGCACCTCGAGGGAAAGCTGAGCTTGACACAGGCGGCCTTGCAGGCCGCTTCGAAGGTTTGCCCGCGGAAGGCGGATGTTTTTCAGATGGCACAACCACGAGCACGGGATCGGTGGCACAGGTCAGCGGCAGCCGACGCAAGATGCCGGCAAATGAGCGCGGCCGTGCCCCGCAGCGAACTGGTCGCGCCATCCACGTGGGCAAAAACAGCTACTCGTGGTAGCCTCGCAGATACTTGCTCGATCATGTCGCATGCGTAACATTTGATCCACGGGAGGGACTGGGAGCACACTGCGAGCATGGATACCCCACTGGGAACCACGGAAGAAACCACGCAAGACACATCAAACGCGCGGGGCGTGGCGCAAATCAGGAAGCCGAGGCGCGGGAGGGAGGGGTAGTTCGCATTCAGCGCCGGCCCAATCAGCTGGACAGGCCTAACCTCTTCGATGAATTTCTCCCATGTCCCAGTGCACGGACGACGGCGCCCCGCCGTACTCCCGAGCGACTTCGCGGACCAATTCTCTTTTCATCGCAGCCCTCAGGGCCGAGGAGTGCTTGGCAGCCGAATCACAGAGAGCATCGCGGGTGTCCGTCCATTCCCAAAATCAAATCTTTTCACCCCGAGGCTCGGTGTAAGCCGCGCAAAGCGCCGGGCATACAGTGACGGGCTGCTCGGAGGTCTCACTTGGTTCGAGAACGCCTGCTGAGGGAACGAGAGCATCCGTTCGACTTTCTGGTAAATACCTGCGCGCGTCTCATGGGCCCCCTATAGGCAATCTCAAAATCTTGGGGGCGCCCATCGACTCCGAGGCCAGCGTCCGCAGGGAACCATCGGGGCACTCTCAAAAGATCCTGCGGACCGATGGGCTCCAGCCCGCTCCTTTTTCAGCACGTGACCGCAAGCGGTACGTAGCGCACTCCAAATCACATTCATGGGTGGGGGAGAGGGCCCGATATCTCTTCCAACAACTCCCCCGATGGGCCATCATCTCGTCGGGTAACTGGCCAACCGGAACTTCTTATTTGGGATCATTCCGAGCCACCCGTGGATCAGTTTGGCGCGACCCTTCAGCCCAGTGGCGGCCCGGCCCAGCAAAGTAGGCCTGCCAGTCATCCGAGCCGCCGTCCACGCGCGACGAAGGACTGACACGCTAGCTCCAATCATTTGATCAACCTTCTCGGCATCGAACACCTCGGAGGAATGCCGCGCAGCCCACGTCTGAGCATGTTGGTTTTCGACCAGCGGGCCTAGATGTCGGTGGGCTTCAGCGGCGCGGGCAGCAAGATTGGCCCTGAGCGAGCTGAGGCGGCCCGCGCCACCTCGCTTCAGGGGGCAAGCCAGGTCGCGCAGCCTCGCTGAGACAAATGACCAGAAACAGAGATCAGGACACGCAAACCCTTGCTCGAGTCTGCCGCGTTCAGGCATGGGCCCGGACCGAAACTCAAATCCAGAACCCCTGGGCACTCGCGACGGGCCCCGCTCGGATCCGGGGATCCGGCAGCCGCGGACCGGGAATAATGCGTAATCAACGCGCCCACCTTAGCAATTAGACGGGGCCCGAGAGACAAACATTGTTTTTGATGGTTGGAGCGAACGCAAGGTTTTGAAGGTGAGAGAGAGGGCGGGCTTCCATAGGGAACGACATTGGGGCGGCTGGGGCCGCTCTCCCCCAAGGAGGGATGCGCCCCCTTAGCGGGAGGCCCACCGACCGAGGGGCGATGCATCCCTCTGGCCGATCCCCCCCCCCCCCCCTCTTTTCTCGAGCGCGAAAAATACCCGTACCCTTGCCTAGACAGGGTGGCAAGGGTCCGGGGGGGCGGTTCGTCGCAGCTGACGGCGGCTGCACAAGTGTAGAAGCGACGGCCGATCGAGCATTGCAGACCGCTGTCTTCTCGAGGCGCACGTTGGCACCGATCGCGCGTGCGCTCGAATCGGCGGAGTGGCCGACCCTGCGTTGGTTGCTGTAGATGTAGACCAGCTGCATAGGAGGCGCGCCCCCAGAGACACACATCCCGGCGTTGAGGAATCAACGCGCACTCGGGGGTGCATGCGAACAACTCGGGCGCGAACGTCACAGCGCGACAACCGCCCAATCGCGAATTGATCGATGCAGAAACATCGCGGCTCTGAGCGCTGGGCGAGGTCGCCAGAGGCCGCCCCCCTTGGACGGGCGTCCGCGGATCACCCCAGCTACGTACGGCTGCCCCCAGAAAACATAAAAAACACACCCGCACCTAGCCGGGGTGTCGCAGCTCCACCCCAGCTAGGTCGGGGTATGTTTCGGTGGTTTCAGACAGGTCCCCGCA